AGGCAAGTGCCAAGAAATGGGATATGAGTTTGAAGAAGTCAGGGTGTTTGTAAATCATGTCTGCACATATAGTCCACTGTGGGCGTCTGGAGGTGTTGAAGCAGAAGAAGGACACAATCCAGCTTTCATGTTCACAGATCCCTCCGGCCACTAAGTGCAAAAGAGACTGTGTGTGGCAGGGAAGTTAAAAAGGAGGCTGGAGGAACATTCCCGACTGGAAATGATGGTGGCTGGAACCAAGATGTCATGAGGGTGGGGCTTGCTTGCATTCCGGATGAAGTCTGAGGTTAAGGCTAAATGGAGTTTGCTAATGGATTGAGGGTGGGATATGAGTGACAGAGGGGGGTCCGGGATGACTCCTAGATTTTTCCTGTGGGCAACCAGAAGAACAGAGGCGCCAATCATCGTGCTTGAGAAGGTTGTAGGAGGAAGAGATTTGGGGGGAGTAAAGGAGAAGTTCCGTTTGAATATGTTCTGTGTGAGTTTTGGACGAGGGAACGGGGATTTCAAGTACACCACTGGATCAAAGTCTACAGTTCAAGGGAGAGAATGGGCTGGAGGTATCCAGGGCCCCTCTAATACTTAGGGGTCAGAGAAATGCAAAGCAAGCAGCAAAGAGGCTGCTGATGGACACCTTGCAGTCCAGAAAAGAAGCGCTTTTGTTTAGGGAAGACAAGCAGTTGGATGACCTTTCTGTTGTTGCAAAGTCCAGAAAGGCGGGGACTGAAAGGGGCCCATGTGGCTTTCACTAAGCAGAGGCCTTGGTAACAACGGTGTCAGGAGGTGGTTGTGTGTGTGTGTGTGTGTGTGTGTGTGTGTAACTCTTACTCTGAACAATCAACAAAAACAGGAATCGTTCCGTTGAAGTGTTCTCTCATCAAGGGCGGGGACAGCATGCTGCTGTCATGAACCAGCACACATTTAGTGGCTTCCAACAGCATACGTTTATCATCTTACAGTTCCAGAGGTCACAAATCCAAGTCCACAAGTTTTCACTGGGTTAAAACCAAGGCGTTGGCAGGCAGGACTGAGTTCCTTTTGGAGGCTCCAGGGGAGAAAGGCATTTTCTTGCTTTTTCCAGGAGCATCTGTATCCCTCCGTTCGTGACCCAGGTCTCTGTCTTCAAGGCCATGAGTATAACATCTTCAAGTCCCTCTCTGCCTCCTTTTAATTGTAAAGATAAAGACCCCTGTGATTACATTGGTCACACCCCAATAATCCAGGGCAAACTCCCCATCTCATATCCCTAATCTAACTTCATCCTTAAAATCCCTTTTTCCATGTAAGGTAACACATTCATAGGTCCTAGGGGATTAGGGTGTGGGCATCTTTGGGGGGCTATTTTTCTGCCTATGTCGTAGGGACATAATTTCTTTGACTGATTGTCCGTCCACGAAACTGTGAGCTCCCTAAGGACAGGTGCTGCGCTCAAATTGAGGCTTTGTAATTCTCTCTCTCTCTTACCCAGTTCCTGTCCATTATATCATAATTCACCATTAGATACTTACTTGTTTAACTCGCTTCTTGCCTCGTCCCTCGATTAAAGAGTCAGCTGCAAGAGGTCAGTGCCTACATCTCCTGTACTCATTACAGTATATGCAGCACTCAGCTCAGGGCCTCGTACACAGGGGGCCTCAGTAGGACACCAGGCTTTGGGGTCAGAAAGGACTTGGGCTGGATCCTGGTTTCACCGGGGACTTCGAGCACGCTGTTTTCTTGGTTCACCCTCAGTTTTCGTATCGATAAAATGAGGACAGTAATAATATCTTCCTTATGGGGTTGTTGTGGCAAATTGAGATTCACAAGCATCAAATAAAGTGCTACGTATTAAATATTTGAGGAAAGTATGAATGGAGGGAATTCTACAAAAATGTATGTGAGATGAATGGATGAAGGAATTTATGGATTTCTCTCCTGGGTATTCTCTGCCTCACTCTATCCCCCACTGTTTGGTTCTGACTCCCTTTTCTCTTCCTTCACGCAGGGTCTCCTGATTGAAGCCTGGGCAGGCAGCCTTCCCCCAGATGCCGCCACCCCCTCCTTACGGGAGGAAGAAGAGCTCCATTACACAACACTCAACTTTCACCAGACAGAGACTTGCTGCCCACAGGAACAGGTGGCCCCTAGTATTGAGTACTCAGAGATCAGGATTCACAAATGAGAGACTGCTGAGACCCCGCCCTGGCTTGAGAGATCTTGGCCCCTGAAGGGCAAAGAAAAAGTCAGGGGCCAATTCCTGTAGACTTAGAAGTCCTACAGGTGATGAGCTGTGACTACAACAGAAAGAACACAAGCTTTGTAAACAGAGTATTTCAAGTGCAAAGTCATATGCTGTGCCTTTACCAAGTAAGCGACAGACCAATCCCTGCCTTTCTGTGCCTCAGTTTCCTACTCTGTGAAATAGGGATGAGAAGCCTACCTGTAAGCTCATGGTGAGAAATTTATATAGAAATGCAAGGGACCTAGAATAGCAAAACAATCTAGTGAAGGAAGAACACGGTTGGAGAACTCAGACTTTACTATAAAGCTAGAGTAATCAAGACAGTGTGGTGTAGAACGGAATCAAGTCCGTAAACAGAGTGTGTGTATATGGTCAGTTGAACAGCACCAAGTCAGTTCAGTTGGGAGAGGAGGGACTTTTCAACAAGTAGTGGGAGAACAAGTAGGTCAAGGTTTAGAAACAATGAAACTTGACCCCTTTTTCACATCACATGCAAAAAATTAGTCTGAAATGAATCGTAAACCTAAAAGTGAAAACTATACATATTTTATTATTGTGCTGCCCAATATGGTAACCACTAGCCGCACGTGGCCCTGGAGAGGTGCTACACTTAGTATGCAAGAAAAAAAAAAAAGATAAAAGATCCCATTAACAATTTTTCATATTGATTACCTGTTGGAATGATAATACTTTGGATATACTGGTTCTTTTAGACTATTATTAAAAGTAATTTCATTTGTATTTCTCTGATGATGAGTGATGTTGAGCATTTTTTCATGGCAGTTTCTTTTTAGTTTTTTTTATTATAGGTACCAGAATTTTGAAATTACATGTTTGCTTTGCATTATATTTCTATCGGACAGCATTGCTCCAGAAGAAAATTTAGGAGTATATTTATGCATGTGCATAGATTTCTTATAGGACATCCAAAATAGTAAGCATTGTGTGTGTGTGTGTGTGTGTGTGTGTATATATATAATAGTAAGCATTATATATATGCTAATAGTAAGTAAGTAATATATATATAATAGTAAGTAATAGTAAGTAGTAAGTAATAGTAAGTAATATATATATATACATAATAGTAAGTAAGCATTATGTGTGTGTGTATATATATATATTATATATATGTATAAAATAGTAAGCATTATATATATGCTAATAGTAATAGTAAGTAAGTAATATATATACATAATAGTAAGAAATAGTAAGTAGTAATAGTAAGTAAGTTATATATATACATAATAGTAAGCATATATATATGTAAATATATACATAATGCTTACTATTTTGAATGTCCTATAAGAAATCTATGCATATGCATAAATGTCCTCCTAAATTTTCTTCTGGAGCAATGCTGTCTGACAGAAATATAATATATATATTATTAAACATTTCTGTTCATCAAAAGGCATGATTAAGAAAATGAAAAGACAAGCCATAAACTGGGAGAAAAAAATATATATATCTCTGAAAAGGGGCTTGAACCTAGCATATATAAAGAATTATTACCAGTTAATAACACAATAACCTAACTGTTAAAATGGGGGAAAAGACGCAGCCATATATTTCACAAGAGATCCAAATGGCCAGCAAGTACAGGAAAGCTGGTCAACGCTACTGGACATCAGGGAGACGAAAATCCATCACAATGAGATGCCCTATCACATCGGCTAGAATGGCTAAAATCAAAAAGCCTGAGCACAGATATCCCTATGAGGTCAATGCCAGTATTACACCCATTTTACACATGGCAAACTAAAACACAAATGGGCTGTCACACTGATGGCCGATACTGCAAGCTTCGTGATACAGAGACCACGTAATGATCACAGAGAGGTTCCATATCGAAAAAGTAAGTGATTTGAAAAAAGAATGTGTCTTCTAAAATCTTCATCATCACCTCGGTCGATACCACCACAGTCATCTTCACTGTGGTCACGGCCACCACTGCCACCATCATTACCATCAAAACCATTGTCACCATGGCATTAACATCACCATCATCTCCATCATGCCTCAATGGTTCTCAATCAAGGCAATTTTGTTCTCCTTGAGACCTTTTCTTTTCTTTTTTAAAGGTTTTTTTTTTCTCTTTTTTTTTTATTTAAAAAATTTTTTTAATGTTTATTCATTTTAGAGACAGAGAGAGACAGAGCATGAATGGGGGAAGGTCAGAGAGAGAGGGAGACACAGAATCCGAAGCGGGCTCCAGGCTGCAAGCTGTCAGCACAGAGCCCGACGTGGGGCTCAAACCCACGGACCGCAAGATCATGACCTAAGCCAAAGTCGGATGCTTAGCCTACTGAGCCACCCAGGCACCTCGTTGGGGCCTTTCTAATGCCTAGAGTCATTTTTGGTTGTCTACGCCTAGAGTGATGGAGGTAATTGCTACAGATACCAAGTGGGTAGAGGCCAGCGATGTTGCTAAACATGGTACAGTGTGCAGGATAGCCATATACCCCATCCCCACCTGAAATAATTATCTGGCTCCAAATACTGATAGTGCTGAGGTTGACAAATTCTGGTCTACTCTATACTGAGAATGCTGCTGAGTGCTTCATCCTCCCAGGTAAGTTCTAGCCCCCACATTACCCTTCAGGGCAGGCGTTCCCCTTCCCATGGTCCAGGTGGGCTAAGAGGACCTGAGGGGAATGTGATCTACTCATGGCCACCCAGCAGGCTAGAGGCAGAGCTGGGATTTGAACCCAGATCAGAACCTTCCCTCTGCCCAGTCTCCTCCTCTGCATAGTTTACTATCTGTTTCTCCAGCTTCACTTGCTAACTAGTGACTACCATGTACCAGACTCATGCTGGATGCTTGGCACCCACCCCGCTCGTTCTCACAGCTGCCCCTCTAGGTGGGCCTCCATATCCACATCGTAAACACAAAGGAAATGGGCTGAAGTCATTGGGTGAAACCCCATTGGTCTTTGGAGGCATGACCACCTCTACGCTCTCCCTCTTTGCTACTGGCTTCTGGTCCTTGACCTCTCTGTCTGCCCCAGATGATTCCTGACAACCAATTCCTGGCCTGTCCCTTCTCCCTTCTGGCTCTGCCTCCCCCTCTTAGGGCACTGCTCTTGAGACCCAGTCCCCAGCCAGCACCCCACCCTTGACCCAGGGCAACAGGCACCTGGTGGAGAGGTGGCTGATCAAGATGTAGATCAGGATTCCGCAGAGATAGATGCTGCTAAGGACTGTTATCACGATGAGCCACACCACTTTGGCTCCTGAGATGTAGAAGCCTCTGTTCACAACATGACTGTGCTCTGGAGGAGAGGATACATGGGGGTTAGGAACACCATCACTCAACCCTTCGCTCACTCACACATTCATTCTTCAGAAATTTATCAACATTTGTTGTGTACAAGGCACTGTTCTGGGTGCTAGGGATTCAGCAGTGCACAACAACAACAACAAAAACCCTTCCTGCCCTCATGGGGCTAACATTCCAGCTGGCAAGTGGACAGTTGACAGTTAAGCAAAGAGATGTCTAATACCATCGCAGGTGGCAGGAAGTCCTGTGGAAAAGAATAAACCCACTCAAGGTGGTAGAGAGTGACAGGGTCAGAGGTGCTGGTTACACAGGGTCATTAACTCATTGCACAGATATTCACTGAACACCAACTACGTGCCAGGCACCATGTTAAGCACTGGAGGCAAATGGTGAGCCAAGAGTTCTCCTAGGCTCTGTCCTCCTAAAGCTCACGGTCCAGCGGAGTAGAAAGCTATGAATCGGTGCATAATTGTGCACGTTTGTCAGTCATGTCTGGTGCATAGCAGGTGATTGGTAAATAGTGTGGAGAGACCAGAATAAATATCTCCAGCTCACACTGAGTTGTGCGTGTGGCTCGCTCTCTGGGATGAGCCAGACTGATTGCTTCTCATGCACTGTCTGATTTAATTCTGCCAGAGCCCTGTCATACAGGGACCTTTATTTTTTATTTTTTTAATTTTTTTTCAATGTTTTTATTTATTTTTGGGACAGAGAGAGACAGAGCATGAACGGGGGAGGGGCAGAGAGAGAGGGAGACACAGAATCGGAAACAGGCTCCAGGCTCCGAGCCATCAGCCCAGAGCCCGACGCGGGGCTCGAACTCACGGACCGCGAGATCGCGACCCGGCCGAAGTCGGACGCTTAACCGACTGCGCCACCCAGGCGCCCCTCAGGGACCTTTATTATCTTGACACTACAGATGGGGACGCTGAGGCTCAGAGAGGTGCTCTTCCCATTTACAGATTGATTCCCAAGCCAAGTTCCAGACACCACGTCCACAACAGATCTCTGTTTCCCTGACACCACCACCGCTCCCCCACCCCGCCTCATTTCAAGGCAGTCCAGCAAAACAGGGCACAGGCTGTAAGGTCAGACTGCCAGAATTTGAACTCTGCCTCCTCTGCTGATTGGAGCTGGAACCTTGAATAAAGCGCTTAAACTTCCCATAGCTCAGTTTTCTCACCTGTACAATGGAGGTGGTGTTAACAACAGTCACTTGCTCTGAAGGGAGACTGTGAGGGTCACATAGCTAGTAGGGTGCTCAGTAAATGTTGGCTGGCCATATCTCCCTGGAGCTCACCCTTGCTCTGATCTGAGGTCCCTGAGGGCTTCAGAGAGGGGGTAGCTTCAGACTTAGAACTCAGAGGATGGGGGTTTTACCCAACCATCGTGGGCATGGCATTGTAAGGTAGAGATGGCATTTCTGATGACGGGCACTATGGAGGCAAAAGCATGGAAGTGGGAGTTATTTGTGGGGCATGAGCCCCAGAGGGGGGGGGCTGCTGTACTCACCTGATCTATGCACCTGGATCTGAAATTCCCTGTACATGGTCAGCTGAGTCATGGGGTTCTCCACGATGCATCTGTATCTGCCCATCTGCTCCCAGGACAGACTTGGGAGGATGATTTTTGCCCCTGAGAGGCTCACGAGGGAGCCGTTGTGGGTCCAGTGGTACTTGGGACGGGGTCGGGAAATGGCGTTACACTCCATGTGCACTTCGGAGCCGATCTTAGCAGACAAGATGCCATTTAAGATGATGTGACTGGTTCTCAGCTGCACTTTGTCTGGCCCATCTGCAGAGACAAGGCAAAAGTCTCAGAACCGTGTTTCTGACCCCTCGGGATCCTGTCTCCTTCCCTCAACCTGCATGCAGCCCCCCCTCCCCCGCCGACCAGCAGGTGCCCCCACTCTGCACCCCAAACATCCCCTAGAGCCAACACATGCAAGGCGGCTGTCCCCAAAACAACTACAATTATAATGTTTTCCGTTACCTGCACCTACTATGAGCCAGCCCTGTGATTGCCCTTCACATCACAGTAAAACAGGGATAGAGTAGAAACAGTACAACAGGCCCCCTGCAATCCAGACTCTTTTACAGGCTGACACATTGGCTTCATTCCCATAACAACCCTTGTGATCAATTTTACAGATGAAAAGAGAGGACTAGGGATTCCGTAGTCCCCTACGGAAGACCCACGAAGGGACAGGGCCAATTCCCCGTATGGCCGGGGAGGAATCTCCCTGAGCAGCTACAGGCCAAGGGTCCTGGCTCTTGGTTGCAAGCCTCTGACCAGTAAGCCATGTACAGAGGTCAGAAGCTATCTGTTCTGTGACCACTTT